CCTGCTCTAAGTCCGGGGATGTAGACTTGCTCTTTCTCTTGTAGCACCTCCTGGGGCATTTTCACATCGGGTCCGGATCTTCCAACTTAGCCTCGGATACGGGCAGTGTGTACCAGACTGTAGCCCGCCTCCCGCACCCAGAGTGTCTCGGAAGAAATTCCTCCTCTTCTTCAGGCAATAACGGAGTCAAGGCTGCAACATCTGTCATGTCTATCTCAGTCTCCAAGGTTTCTGTGACATCAACAAATTGGAGAATCCACAGGTTCTACCAGTTGTTCAGTCTGTTCTGAGCTTCTGGGTATGTTTTACTCCTGCCCTGTTCGTGAGTTTGTAGCTTCTATGTGGTCCACATGCTTGTTCAGGATCACCTCTCCTACCCAAACTTTGTATGTCACAAGATCTGACCTTGCCTTGACTGTACCTCTTAGAGCCATTTCCACGGTTTTGGCACCAAATTTTGTCCGCTGAAGTAAACTGTCTCTCTTGTTTAGAGGAGTCTTGTGTCTTGCTTGGCATTCCTGATGTCATTTCATCATCCTCACAAGGCCCAGTAGATCAGATTTAACCTAGTGTGGAGTCTTCTCCCCAGTTAGCAACTTTGCTGGACCTGTAGTTGTATGCGGAGTGGTCCGATAATCAAAAAGGAACAGGGACAGTGTGGTGTGGAGTTAAGCTCTAGGCTGTTTCTTTAAGCCTGTCTTCAAAGTTTGGACTGCTCTTCCCCCAGACCACTGGATGATGGATGGTATGGGCCGTCCTTATTTGCCGAATGCTGTCCAACTTCAGGAAATACTCAAATTCCATGCTGGTAAACGAAGGCTTGTTGTCTGTGATCAACACCTCCAGGAGCCCATGTATTGCAAAGATGCTTGCAGCTTTTCCATTGTTGTCCACATGTTTGATGAATGAACTCTATGCACATCCAACCACTTTGAGTGGGCATCCATAATGACTAAGAATGTTAAGCCCATGAAAGGGCCAGCATAGTCCAGAGTATATCTGGCAATTCCCATGAACTTGGGGGAGCTGGTGATGGTAATTTTTGCCCCACCAACGCGGCTACGTCAGCATTCAATCCCGGCCACCAGACATAATTTCTCATCTTGGATGATCCTGGTGAACTTCAGCCAGTATTTGGCAGCAACTTTTGCTTTGGACAATTACTCTTGTTCCTCATAATAAAATACCATCCTCTACGGTAGTCTGGTCTTATCAGGTCCAGAAAGATTTCAGTCCTGGTTGTGATAGTCCTTTTGTTTCCTCCATTACCACCAGTTGTTTTAGTTTTGCTAGGACCAGACCTTTTTGTATCCGCAGTCTGATATTTTCAGTGGTCACTGGAAGGATGTCCAGAAAGTTAAAAACCAGAATGAACTCTTCCAGTGGCAGCACTACTGGTAGTGTATCTGCCAGCGGGAGGTGGCTGAAGGCATCTGCTTTGATACTTGACCTCCCAGACAGTACCAACTTGTAACTGTCTACACGTAGAATGAGAGCCCACCATTGATTTTGACCTGAAGTTATGGGCAGCATGGCCTTGTCCTGTTTGATTAGCCCTACCTGGGGTTTGTGGTCTGTTAATTACAAATTCACACCCGGAAAGGTATTTGTGAAACTTTCTCACACCAAACATGACCACCAAATGCTCCTTCTCTACGTGGGCATATTTGCACTCTGTATCAGCCAAAGTCCGCAACACACACGCTATTGGGTGTTGTTCTCCATTCGGCCATCTGTGAGCTAATACTACCCCAATACATTATGGGGAGGCATTGCATGGCAGCACCAGACCTCAGTTGGGATCATAGTGGGGCAATACCTTAGATGATGATAGCTGCTTCTTCACTTCCCTAAAGGCTCCATCTTGACTACAAGACTACTTTCAAGGCTGACACTTTTTCAACAGCAGATGTACGGGTGCCAAAATGGAAGCCAGATTATGTATGAACTTTCCATAATAATTCACCAATCCAAGGATATATCGGACCTCCGGTACAGATGTGGGAGCTGGGGCTCCTTTGATCGCCTTCACTTTCTCTTTCAACAGGTGTAACCCAGTCTTGTCAACTCTGTAGCCCAATTAGATCACCTGGAGTGCCTGGAACACACATTTTTCCATTCTCGGGTGTATGCCTGCTTTGGAGAAATGTCTAAGGACTATGCCTAAGTTCTCTAAGTGCTCTTTATTTATCTTCCCTCTTATTAGCCCGTCATCCAGATAAATGGCGGCCTGAAGTAGACCTTGCAAAATGTTCTCCATCACCTGTTGAAAAATTGAACAGGCTGATGAAATCCCAAATGGCAGTCTCGTATATTGGTACAATCACTTACAGATATTAATTGCAGCATACTTCTGGAAAACCTCAACTAACCATAATTGGAGGTACACATGGCTCATGTCCACCTTAGTGAAGGACAACCTTTTGCCAGCTTTATGTATATGTCCTGTATGCGAGGGATTGAATATTTACCCAGCTGAGAGAAGCAGTTTACCATTTGTTTGAAATCCCCACAAAAGCGAACCAACCCATCAGGATTCACAATTGGTACACCTGGTGCTGCCCATTCCACAAACTGTACTGGTTTCATGATTCCTTCGCTCTTCTGATTTCTGCCTCTACTTTTGCACGTAAGGCAAATGGCACTGTGGAATTGATGCCAGCATGGGTGTATCAGTGAGTGCAGAACCAGTCTTTAATAAAAGATTGTGGAATTGCTTCCTGGTCAACATGCAAGATGGCTTTGGCTCCTTTAATAGTCCCTAGATCTTCCTGAAAATTTTCAAGGTATTTAAGTAGGACTGCACTCAGGCAGCTATTTTCTCATCAAAAAATGTTGAGCCAATCAAGATGAAACTTTCTCAAGCAATTTTTCCCCATCAAGCTTGGGCCCAAGCCTTTTGCAACAATCAGTGGTAACTGAACCAGTTGCTTCTCGTATAAGACCAGAATTGAAGTTGTACCCTTCATCTGTAAAGGTTGCCCAACCTTAGTTCTCAGCCTAGCCGAGGTCTTATGCAAACTTAAGGGTTGGAGTCCAGAGCAAATTTTGTTAAAGACTGGTTCTGCAATCACTGATACAGCCGTGCTGGTATCAACCTCCATTAGAACTGGGTGACTATTTAACCAGATGTTTATTTTGATTGCTTCTGATTTGGACATTGCTCAGCAATATAACTGTTCCAAACCAGATGTAGGTGGGCTTTGCAGGGTATGCACTCTCTTCGATATATGCCACTGAGTTCTCTTACTCAGGTCCGGCCTAGTGGGACTCTTTTGCTGTCTTGAGTTCACATACCGGTAACAACTACACTGGCTTGGCCAACCTAGACCCTCAAGAAAATTATAACTGTTTGCCTGAGGCTTGCCTTTGTTTTGCGGTTTTGCTGTGGGCTTGGCTTTGTTTTGGAGTTTTGCTGTGGGCTGACCTGGAGTTCCCCTGTTCAGGATATATCCTGAGCAAGGATATGCAATTAACTTCACTCCAGTGGTGTCCCCCAAGCTCAGTCAGCCTGACAATGGTGTCAACTTCCATTGGCATACCCTGTAACTCATAACCTCTACTTGCTGCATTTTCTCAAGATAAACCTAGATGCAGTGCCTATTTGAAGTACAGCTGAGATTCAACTAGTAGGTGCTTTTCATGGTTACATCAATAATCCCACATACCAAATGGGCTCAAAGCATCTCAAAATGTTTTACACACGGGGTGTTTGTTTGTGGAATGAACTTCCTGAAGAGGTGATGGATGTAGGTATAATTACAATGTGTAAAAGATATTTGGATAAGTACTTGAATAGGAAAGGCTTGGAGGGATATGGGCGAGGAGCAGGCGGGTGGGACTAGTGTAGTTTGGAATTATGTTTGGCATGGATCGGTTGGACCAAGAGGTCTGTTTCCATGCTGTATGGCTGTATGACTCTGTGAAGGACTAAATCAAAGTCACACACCTGTTGTCTTAACCTTGTCACAAATCCCAATTCCAACGGTTCTCGAACTGTTGAGTAAAACCGATAATGTCTCAGAGTTAGAGGAGACTTGGAGTTGTAATATTCTTTAATTAAATCCGTTAACTTTTGAAAGGTTTTAGTATCTGATACCTCAAGAAACGTTAGGCTCCAAATAACCAAATAAGCTGCAGGTTCACAAGCTGTCAAGAGAATTACTCATTGCTTTCTATCTTCCCCAATGTCATATGCCCGGAAAAATATAACGTTTTCTTTCCACATACTGGGCCGAGTCTTCACGGGCAGGATTGAACAAATTGAGCTTCCCTAACAACAGCATGATTCCAGAAATGTTTATTCCAATTCAACAATGACTATTATGAATGAATTTGTTCAGGAGCATACTTTTTTCCTTTGTTGCATGAAAGTAACTCCACAGAGACCAATACCCCATCACCAAGTCACCCTTTATTTGCACGTGCCTAGTAGTTGACACTGGTCTGGCATCCTCAGAGCTAGCTGTCAGAATGAACAGAACCTCTGACACTTCTGTTTATATGAGAGGCATAGATAGAGTGGATAGCCAGAGACTTTTTCCCAGGGCGGAAATGACTATCACAAGGGGGCATAATTTTAAGGTGATTGGAGGAAGGTATAGGGGAGATGTCAGAGGTAGGTTCTTTACACAGAGAGTGGTGGGTGCATGGAATGCACTGCCAGCGGTGGTAGTAGAGTCAGATGCATTAGGGACATTTAAAGAACTCTTGAATAGGCACATGGATGATATTAAAATGAAGGGTGTGCAGGTTAGTTTTGATCTTAGAGTAGGATAATAGGTCAGCACAACATCGTGGGTCAAAGGGCCTGTACTGTGCTGTACTGTTCTATGTTCTATATCTATCTGTCAGCCAGGGCTCCCTGATTGGGGCAGTTAACTTGGTCCAATCAGGGAACTCATATTCTATGAGGTCCACCTGTCTGACTTTGTTACAATCACCTACTGGAAAAGTTGTAAATAAAGTAAATGCATCTTGTTTTCTTCTTTTCTTTTTAGAACCTCCAACACCAGCTGCTGCACCCCAAGTGATAGAGGTTGGCTCAACATTCCTGATGGTGGACCTAAATATCAACGACTTTATTGGAGATGGCCCCATTATTCGGAAAGAGATTGTATACCAGAAGACCTCAACATCCCAAGTAAAAGTCCAGGCTGTTGTCAGTCCAAAATGTAAGCTGATGCACTTAGACCCAGACACTGAATACCAGATCAACATCCAACTGACTCGGCCTGGTGAGGGAGGGCAAGGAAAGCCAGGACCCAAACTCATCAGCAAGACCAAATGTGCAGGTAAATCATTTCTACTTTGTTACATTAACATATCACAAAATGAGCCTGCTATTTAAAGCTGAGAAGATACCCTGACTGGATGAGATACATCCAAGGATTTTGAAGGACTGGTTAGGAGAGTAGGCAAAGAAGTGGCAGATGGAGTACAACATGGGAAAGCGTGAGGTCATGCACTTTGGTAAGAAGAATAAAAGCATGGACTATTTTCTAAATGGGGAGAAAATTCAGAAGTCTGAAGTGCAAAGAGACTTGGGAGTTCTAGTCCCGGATTCTCTCAAGGTAAACTTGCAGGTTGAGTCAGTAGTCAGGAAGGCAAATGCAATGATGGCATTTATTTTGAGAGGACTTGAATATAAAAGCAGGTATGTACTACTGAGGCTTTATAAGGCTCTGGTCAGGCCACGTTTGGAGTATTGTGTGCGGTTTTGGGCCCCATATCTCAGGAAGGATGTACTGGTCCTGGAGCGGGTTCAGAGGAGGTTCATGAGAACGGTCCCAGGAATGGAAAGCTTAACAGATGAGGAACATTTGAGGACTCTGGGACTATACTCATTGGAGTTTGGATGGATGAGAGGGATCTAATTGAAACTTACAGAATACTGAATGGCCTGGCCAGAGTGGATGTTGGGAAGATGTTTCCATTGGTAGGAGAGACTAGGACCTGAGGGCACAGCGTTAGAGTAAAGAGAAGACCTTTTAGAATGGAGATAAGGAGAAACTTCTTCAGCCAGAGAGTGGTGAATCTATGGAATTCACCAGAGAGTGGTGAATATATGGAATTCACTGCCACAGAGGGCTGTGGAGGCCAGGTCGTTTAGTACATTTAAGACTGAGATAGATAGGTTCCTGATTATCAAGGGGATCAAGGGTTACGGGGAGAAAGCGGGAGAATGGGGTTGAGGAACTTATTAGCCATGATTGAATGGCGGCGCAGTACCGATGGGCTGAATGGCCTAATTTCTGCTCCTATGTCTTATGGTCATTGCATCTTTCCATAATCTGCCAACATATTTGTTCCTCAATGTCCCGGTGGCATCAGTGATTGCACCCTTCTTTTTTTGAGCTCTACCCATATTGCCTCAGTGGATGACCCAACCAGTATGCCCTCTCTGTGTTCAGATGTGACATTCTCCCTGATTAATAATACAACCTCCACCTCTTTTATCTCCCCGCCTCTTTTATATCCCTCTGTATCTCATTTAAAACAACAAAATCCTGGAATGTTCTGCAACCAGTCCTGTCCCTCTCTCAAACAAGTTTCTGTAATCTTTTCCATTCCTTGGCTTTCTATGCACACTCGTCATGCTGTGCAGTTGGTACCCACCTTTGCACTGAAATTTCCTTGAAGGTATAGTCCCTGAGTGCTAATTATGCAGGTGGCAGTGTCCAATGCCTACAGAATTGATCCTTGACATCTTGGTAAATTTTGGAGCATAAATGCAGATCAAGTCAACTGGGTTCATGCTTGTTACCAAGTGACGAGTAAGAAGGCCCCCTGACCCTTCTGTGGTGGGCTTCAATCATCTTGAGTGGAGTTTGACTGTGAAACCCCATGCCATGCTTATAGAACATAGAACAGTACAGCACAGTACAGGCCCTTCAGCCCACGATGTTGTGCTGACCTATTATCCTACTAAGATCAATCTACCCTGCATACCCTACATTTTACTATCCTCCATGTGCCTATCCAAGAGTCGCTTAAAAGTCTCTAAAGTATCTGACTCCACTACCACTGCTGGCAGCGCATTCCACACGCCCACCACTGTCTGTGTGAAGAACCTACCTCTGACATCTCCCCTATACCTTCCTCCAATCACATTAAAATTATGCCCCCTCATAATAGTCATTTCCTCCCTGGAAAAAAGTCTCTGACTACCCACTCTATCTATACCTCTCATCATCTTGTACACCTCTATCAAGTCACCTCTCATCCTTCTTCGCTCCAATGAAAAAAACCCTAGCCCCCTCAACCTTTCCTCATTAGACCTGCCCTCCAGTCCAGGCAGCATTCTGGTAAATCTCCTTTGCACCCTCTCTAAAGCTTCCACGTCTTTCCTTTCATGAGGTGACCAGAACTGAACACAATATTCCAAGTGTGGTCTAACCAGAATTTTATAGAGCTTATGTGTTGCATCTTGGGCTCCCTCCAACCAAAGAAGGTATAGTGTTTCTCGAAGGGATCTACTTTGAGCAAGCCAAGTTTCTGGCAGCACAGCATTGTCAACATTGAGCCTTGTAATTTGCATCATCAACATGTGCAAGATCATTGGCAGGCTGTAATTATGTATGGTAGTGTCCCACCTCTGGACCAGGTGGCCCAGGTTCAAGTACCACCTTCTCTAGCGGTGTGTTGATCAGGAAAAGATCTACAAGATGGAAACTTAAAGTTGCCCAACCATCAAGATCCACCTCTTGGCATTGCTAGTATTGTTCAAAGCAAATAACTAAATTAGTACTATTTGCTATCAATTCTGCTGCAGGAGTTTCCAAAAAGCTGCCAGATAGATAATGAATGAATTTCTGAGGGACTCTAATCAGAATGATCTGTCAGCGTTGACCCCTTTTGTCTTCTTCTTTTCTGAGAATGACGAGGCATTCAGGCTATTTACCAATAAATGGGATAGCACTACCAGAGACTACCAAAATATCTCATTTAACAGATAATATGAAATTTGACTTAATTTAAAATGCTTTAGCCTTCGTATTTTCAACAAAAGCCAAATTTGGTTTCTATATTTGATGCTGTTGATTGCAGCTAAATCTTTCAAATCTTACTGACAAACTCATGAACCGGATTGGCAGAAGCAAAGAAGCCTCTTGGCACATCACTCATTATCAAATTCTGCCACATAATGATTGTAATAATGTATGTGGAATTCTGGAAATTTATGCAATAAATTCATAAAACTTAATCTCCTTGATCACTCAAAAATGCCTCTGATCCTTTATTAAATATCAGCATATTTATGTAAATATTTATCAATTACAGATGGTGCACTGATGTTTTGGACTGCAAGTTAATGAATATTTAGGGGTGGAGTAATTAGTTTATCTACAGACAATTTAATTTCAATTACATTGCGTGATCTACCTTAGTGTAGACAATTCAGCCAATAGTTTCGGAAGTGATGGTACAGGGCTCCTGAAGTGCATTGACAGTTTCCCTTCATTGGAGCCAGAAGGCCTGGGTTCAGGTCCTGTCTCGTCCTGAGGTCTGGAATTCAAATTATACCATCTGGCATGAAAGGATTTAAACCTGGGTCCTCAGAACACTTCCTGGGCTTCTGGATTAATAGTCTAGTGATCATATCTTTTAGATCATTGCCTCCATATTATATGGCTAGTGCAATAACATCTTTCGAATGGTTGATTAGAAAATATCTGGAAGAAATGCTAACACTTATGGGATAGAGTCTTTTTTTTTAATTCACTTGTGATGTGTGGATGTCACTTTCTGGGCTAGCATGTATTCCCTATTTTTAGTTGCCCTTGAGAAGATGAGATGTCTTCTTGAACTACTATAGTCCATGTGCTATAGGTAGACCCATAATGACATTAGGGAGGGAGTTCCATGATTTGATCAAGGACACTTAAAGAACATCAATATATTTCCAAGTCAGGATGATGAGAAGCTTGTTGGGGAAATTGTAGGTGGTGGTATTCCTATGTATTTGCTGTTCTTGTCCTTCTAGATGGTAATGGTCATGGGTTTGGAAGGCTGTCTAACGATCTTTTGGTGAATTTCTTCATGGCATTTGTAGATGGTACACTGTGGCTATTGAATATTGATGGTGGAGTGAGAGGATATTTGTAGATGTAATGACAAACAAGTGGGTTGCTTTGGCCTAGATATTTCAAAGCTTCTTGAAAGTTGTTGGAACTGCACTCATCTAGCCAAGTGGGGAAGTATTCCAACACACACCTCACTTGAGCCTTGTAGATGGTGAACAGCCTATGGGGAGTCAGGAGGTGTATTATTCGTTGTCGCTGCCATTCCAAGCCACTGACCCGCTCTTATAGCCTCTGTATTTACCTTTTTTTTTTCATTGTTTTACAAGATTGGATGTTGCTGGCCAGGCCAACATTTATTGCCCACCCTTAATTGTCCAGAGGAGAGTTAAGAGTCAATCACATTGCTATGGGTCTGAAGTCAAATGTTGGCCAGATCAGATAGATTTACTAGATAGGTTTTTTCAACAATTGCCAGTTGTTTCATGATCACTGTTGGACTCTAAATTCCTTTTCTCTTACTGAATTCAAATTTCACCATCTGGCAGGATTCAAACCTGGGTCCCCAGAATACTTCCTGGGTCTCTGGATTAATAGTCTAATGAAAACACCATTAGGCCTTCACCTCCCCTATTATACGGCTAGTCCAGTTGAGTTTCTGGTCAATGGTAACCCCAGGATATTGATAATGCAGGATTTCTTGATGGTAACACCATTGAATGTCAAGGGCCAATAGTTAGATTGACTGTTATTGGACATGATCATTGTCTGGTGTTTTTGTGGCACGGATGTTACTTGCCACCTTCCAATCCAAGCCTGGGCATTGTCCAGGTCTTGGTGCTTTTGGACATAGAAGCTTCATGATGGAGCTCTGTCTGAGACTGAACAGCTTCCCTTTTCAACCTGTGTGTAGCATTTACAATACTGAAATTTTTCACTGCAGGTTGATATTAGTGTTATCAATCTAGTTCTAGATTCAGAAAACAAGACTGATAGCAAATGAAACATCTCTAAAGTTAGTCAATATCACTGCAGATGTGTTTTCTAGTCCTGGCCAAATTGACTGTCAAGCTGGACTAAACAGTTGCCCTGAATGAACCTTCAGTGAAAGGGACAGAAGTGCAAGCCTGAATTGCAACTTGAAACTGATTCTTCTTGCTGAGAAACCATTGAGTTTGCATTGGTCCATCCCTGTGCACACGTTGCAAATTCTGCAGTAATGAGACCCTAAGGTTCAGCTTCAAATCATGAAATGCAATGTTCGAATCTCT